AGCCTGTACATTATTCAATCTGTTTAAATAATAATTTCTGCAGAGACTCGTCTGTCAAATTAAAAATAGCCAACATTTTAAAGAAAATAGATATTTAACATAAGTTTCACCAAAGCAATTTTTTTCTGATGAAATATTCTAATCTTAAATGTGTTTTTTTTTTTTTTATCAACTGTTAGCAGACTGATTAATAGAAATGAAGGCCTGGAATTTTTAAATGTTGCTTTAACAAAGGTTTGTCCAATATCTGTTGCAAAAACAGTTGTAGAAATTTAGAAAAACTTAGATAAAGTGATCCCCTATAGTGGTAGCATAATGTCAGATTAAGTAGAGTTTGTATAATTGGTAACTGAAGAATTCCTGATTCTGGGGGGATGTGAATCACACAAAGACCAATCTCCAAGCAGATTGGTAAAACCAAAAAAGACCCAATTACTCACTTGCAGAGCAACAGCAGAGAGTGGCATCATGATATCTTTAACTCTCCACATCAACAATTTAATTGCCAGCCTGTTGTTAGGCAGGCATACATTGGCGAGAAGCTTGTGTCTGTACTTCCATTTCTGAAAAAAACAAACGTATTCAGGTTATAGAAAGTTGTTTTGTATCTACTTTGGCAATTTATTTCTTTTTTTTGTTTCCTTCTTTTTTCTCTTTAAAGTTTAAAGGATCACAAACTCTGTGTAAACTGCAAGAGAATTGAGTTTGCAAAAAAATGATAACAGAGGATCATGATACGGTAATATAATGGTCAAGACTGTTGTGAATTTACCAAATGATTCTCAATAAATAAAATTTAAAAGAAGAAAAATAACTGAAAAAAAGGCTTTTGAAACTCTTGGCTTGAGGTTTTTCCAGCAATAACTGATCTCAGAGTGTTCGGTGTGAAACAAAGAGGAATTATGTGAAATATACTTATAAACTGAATACTGATGATTGCTCTTTCACAAAAACAACAGTCTAAAACATATAGCTAATTTGACAATTAGCAAATTAACACTTTTTTCTTGCTTTCTTTGAAAAAAATGTTTGCATGGTTGACAATAGTTAGAAGTTATAAATGCTCAGTTATCTCCAGGATATTGGTAGTTATCATGAGATTTTAACTGATACAAGTATAAATTCCCTATTCTCTAATACTACAACCAGTAATTTTGCATCATCTTGGCCTTTTAAAAAAACACATCTTTATTTTGATCTACTTTTGCATTAACTAGAACTTTTATGTCCTGAGTAACCATTTTACCTTATGTCAAGTAATTATTGATTTAGGCTTCCCTTCTAAGGTACAGCTGACATGTCTGTTTTTGTCCTGTTTTTAATCAAAGTGTTTAGATGTAATAACCCTGACCCTCTCTCCCTCTGATAATGACTCCCAGAACCTAAACATGTTCATTTACTCTTCATCAGTTCAATTAGAGCTGTTTGTCACTTTGTGCCTCATCATTCCAAAATCAATGATCTCCTCCTCAGTTTTATTGATGCTGACCAGTGGTTTATTCTCTGTAAACCGCTCTGCAACATAGTTGGCCTCCTCTCCCCATGAAACCTTATCACTGTTTGCAGGGAAATCAATAACGGTTGTGTCAAACATTGTTTGCATCCTCTCAATATCTGGCTATGCAGTTTCCTTGGAGAAGGGTTAATACTAAGATAAAGGAAGGAATAACTATTCTGAGGTATGTTCAGCTTCTTTAGAGAACAAAGCTGCCTAAAACAGTGCTGCTGTTTGTTAGTGATGATTAATAGGATTACCTTGTATGTTTTATGTTTGTTTTCTTCCTTCTGTGAAAAACTGGTAGTTCTGGTTAGGGGATCTATCTTTCTACTTTGTGAACTGCTCTGATTGGTTCACTTTTTAATTTTAACAAACTTAAACTAGTCACTATCCACCTATGGTAATGATCCGTATCTCATCTCCTATAAGCCTGAGAACACAGTTTAGTTCTAGTCCTTTGTCTAGTTAATCTTGTAAAACATGTAGTCTAAAGAAGAGGAAACTTAGCGAAGATAAACTTTCTGCTTTTTTATCTGCTGGTTGCAGGATAGAACAAAGCCTTCACTTGTAGGTAAAGCAACTATTCATATTGCCAGCAGAGTACCCAGCGCTTCAGCCATAAAGCTTGTGTGGTGTCAAGTTTGATGGGTGGTTGGTACAAAAGACCAGTTTGAAAAAACATAGAAAGAAAAATTAAGGATTGTGCTTTTAAAACAGGAGTGGATTGCCCATAATCCTGCACACATAGACTGTGCTTCTCTCAGTTTCCATGTATGTATTCATAATTTAATACATATATAGTTAATGAAAAAAACTATTTTCTATTTTTTCATATTTTATAGTAGAGGAAAAGTATTTGCTTTTTGTCAAACCAAGATGTTTTAGATAATCATAAAAGATAATCAACATATAGTCTGGAGGACCAACTCTAACAACAGCCAGCTGAATCTAACATTCTACTCTTTCAAATTTTTAAGAGCAGCAATAAAGAGGTGGGATGCTCTTTAAATCATATCTTCAAAAGAACAGTCAGATTACTCAAATAAGACGACTGACAAACTTATACAAAAAAAAAAGCGTGTTATTGTAAAAATGAGGGAGTAATAAAGTTGTGGTACTGGTGAATTAACACACTTAACATGTTGAGTAATATTATGTGAAAAATCTATTTCAAATTTGAGTCAAACTTCCATCAATTTTAATCCACGTTTAGAAGATTTTTTTTATCTTATTTTCCAATTGTTTAAAATATCAATAAATACAAATATTTTACATTTTATCTTAAAGGTATAGTGGAGGACTTTTGTGAATTTTAAAAAACTCTCCACTTAAAAAACAAAAATGCAAATGCACAACCCTGTACCTGCTCCCGAGATGGAACGCCAATTAAATGTGTGCGGGAGCGTGCACAAGCCCATTTCTCCTTGGACACACCGTTTAAAAGTTGTTTGCATCACTCATACAAGCTTACTTTCCAAAAGATTTGCAATTTTTCCACCATGTCAGACATCTTATTTTGATGATCCACCTTTAAAAAGGACATTCTCCACTATACTTTAAAAGTACATACATTTGTAATCAAAGTCCTTATAATTGCAGAAGGTGCTTTATCATTCTTCTCTGAACTCAGCTACAGATTAACTTTACAGCAATCTTGCATCCAGACCCGTCTTAAAGTGAAAATGTATCTTTTTATTGGTACCATACATTAATTATTAAGGGCAGAAACTAACAAAATCAAAAAAAATATATATATATATCAAACCAAGATTTCTCTACAGGATTTGGAGAAGGTACAAGTCACCATTCAAACTCAGTTTATGCAGTTTGATTCAAATCCAACAAAAACAAATGTACAAACCAATAACAGAGCTGTTCTCTATTCGACTTTACAGACTCAGCACTGCTACCAAAATACGCAGACTGGATTTATTGTTAAGAGGCTGAGCGACACTGTTGGTTATAAACGAGGCTGTACAAATAAAGAGAATTTTAAAATAAAACTCATAATAAAAAAAAAAAAGATTGTGTCTTAGCCAGTGATGAAACAAGGTAACAGAGAAACTAAAAGCAATTGCGCACATTCACTTAGACATCAAGATGAGATACAGAAAACTGTCCTGGATGCTATGATAAATCAAAATACAAGTGTGAATTTGAAAAATAAATAGAAAAGCTAAAATCATCTTTCCATGGTGCCATTGTATCCCCAGGGGGTTGTCATTTAATTTACACAAGTTTTATTTAAAAAAAGAGGAAGGAGGAAAGACAGCAGAAGGGGAGGGGAGGGAACAGGGTCGTGGGTGTTTTTTCTCCTTTTTCCTATTTTTTGTTTCTTTACATTAGATCGGGATGGCTTTAGGTAAATCTAAGTAAGAATACATTTTATTACAGTCAGACAGAACTTTGCTACTACCTTAAATATACAAGCACAAATACACAAAAAATTCCCAAAAAAAGAAAATAAAAACATCCACACTAAATCATTTCTCTTTTATAAACATAAAAGATTTTAAAAAAACAATATATTTATGGGTGGGGGAGGGGAGGATAAAAGTCCTGCGTTGCTCCTTGGTCTGTAGCTTTTCAGTATTGGTAGAAAATAAAAAAGTAATTGAAATGAAGACGTTTAATACAAAAAAAAAAAAAACATTCTAGGGAAATATATATACTGTATAAAAACTCTTAAAAGATGTAGCTGTTTGTATGTGTGTGTTGTAAATGCTTTCCCTTTGAAAGACTGCAATCACTGTAGTCTAATCAGAGGTGGCTGGGGCACTGGAAATCCTTCAATCATCATCTTCATTATGTGTGTATGCATTGGGTGTGAATATACATGTTTTATTGCCCGAGTGCCTCCAAACAGCCTTCACGCTAGTGTATTAGTTTTAAAAACTGATGCTCAGTTCTGACCCGTCTGCTTCAGCAAAGCCACAAATAAACCACAAACTTCAGGTTTTCTCTCTCACACACACACTCGCTCGCTCACACATACAGTGTTAAACAGAGTGGCTTGTGCATCAGCAGAGCAGACCACAATCCAGAGCTGTGTTTAGATGATGGGTGGGCTAGTAGTCCCTAAGCGACTCGCCACCACAGTGAAGCCGCGCTGCCACCGGCCCGTCCACCCCACCGCGTGAGTGCTCGGTTCAGATAGATTAGTGTACTTAGTTTCATGTGTGGAATAAATTCCTGCTACTTCTCAGTCATGTCAACCCAATCTCCATCCAAAAAAATGAAAATGAGCAACAGCAGATGGGACGTTTTGTGTAAAAGTTGGAGGAGGAGAGAAAGAGTGCTGGGACACAGTGCCTGAACATTTCTCTGGCTCAGTCAGAGGACAGACTGAGCTCCTTCAGGCTACCTGCGGGTGGATCTGAGTGCTACAGCTGTGTTTGGTTTGCAAATCAGACTATGGCCCAATTTTGGCTGCAGTCATGGCTATAGAGGTAGGGTGGGGGCTGACAGAGGGGTCTGTATAGAGGTTATAGGGGCCCGGGCTCTACTGGGATGCCTGCGAGGTGGGGTTGTCACTCTTGCTCTCCTGGCTGGAGGGGGCCTTGTTGTTCCAGGGCGAGTTGGAGCCCAGCGCTGGAGAGTTGTTGAAGCTGTCCTCGTCGTCAATGCCGTTGGCTGCGTCGAACTGCGTGTTCTCCAGCCGAGTGATCAGACGCTCATCCTCGTCCCCAAACTCCCCGCCCATCAGGGTGGGCTCTCCCACCACCATCACGTCCTACAGTCAAATCACAACAATACTTCGTTAGAGGGGACATTTATTTCATAACTTTTCAAGTTTTTCCTAAAAATTGCTTAAGTCAAAAATCCTTGATGACACACATATGTGATGTTAAATTGGAGAATTAAAGATTACAACACAAACAGTTTACTCCAAAATAATTAATCTCTCACTGCAAATTCAGAGTCACAAGTAAATAAAAATGCAATATATATAATTAAATAATATATTTAATAATTAAATTCAAAAACTAAAAACTATTTTATCTAAACTCAATATGGATTTTTGCTTTTGTTGAGTACTACCATCTCGAAATCCTTAAACTCCCTCAACAGAATGAATAGTAAGAACAGTTGTGGCATCATGCTAACAAAATATAAAAAAATATATGCAGAAATACCGGCAAGCTAAATGTTCTCTGCAATACAACAGAGATAGGTCAGAGAAAGAAGCAGCTATAAACAAGTGCCACCTAATTCCTGATGAGGTCATTGGTAAGAAAAAGAAAAAAAAACCTCCTCTTGACTTGCTGAAGAAAATCTCCATGGCAACAACATCCAGTGAAGTTTAGGCTCCTAAGTGAGGCTCATATTAAATCCAGAGAAACTCAATTTCTTATCACTATTGACTAACAAGCACATAAATATCAGCTCCACTTTCTCACAACCACACAAAGAAAGTTTTTCGGTTTTCTTTACAATGATTATTCAAATGAAAACTTTTAGATTTATGGTGTAGCTGGATAAAGAAAAGTAAAGCATAAGCTAAAAAGACCACCCTTCCAGCAGGGAAGCATGGTAGTGGCTCAGTGATGCTCTAGACTCTAGAGCATTGCCTCATATAGGGCTGGAACGATTAAAAGTTTGATTTTAAAATGCTGCAGCACACAAACCACCAAATATTGAACTGGAGGCTTTTGCCCACAAGTGGCAAGATTCCTTAGCAATGCCACCAGAACGTGGTGCAGTTCATATTGCAAATAGGTTCTCCATTAAGTTCTTCAGAGGCCTGAAGAATTATACAACAGCAATCAATATATCAGGGTGTTGCTTTAGTTTTAGACAGGAAAAACTATTTCAGATCAAAACTTTAGGTGCAGCTATTAGTGTTGTTCTGTCCTTCAAACAAACCAATGGTTCAACAAAATAAACATAATCATATGACTAAGCTGTGTTCTTTCCTCAGTTCGGTCCAGGTCAAGAGTAAAGCTTCTAGCCTGTTAGGGCAGGGGGGGTTATTAGTTATATGAACAAGCAGCTGATCTACTCTGTTCTTCATCTGTATCCAGCATACTTTAAATGCAATTGTATGAATATGAGATAAATGTTAATACACTACATGGGTTTATAGTCTGAAAAAGTTTGGAATTTTAAGTTAAAAAGGTTAAAAATAAATCAATAAATGGTATTCTTGCTAAAGGCTACTCATATCATCAAACCATGAATGATCCCACAGCGTCAATGGGTGCAATGTGGCAATCACAAAGGGCAGCTCAGAGATGCAATTTGAAAAGGCCATCATATTTCAAGGATCACGCTTCAACAGTGGCCACTCTAATAATACATGTCTGTAGCTGAAAAGGCTTTCCTGGCCCTTGATATCCAAATACTGATTTTACCAGAGAGGTTCAGACCTCAGAGAAGATGAATTGTGACGATGGGGCGAAGAAAAGTAAAAAAATGGCCAGACAAATGTAAATCAATATCCCTGTTGTGAACATGATCCTAATATTGTGCAGACATAATTCATTTCTTAATAAACTCTACACTGAAATGATTCACTGGAAGATGTTGACATATTGAAATGATCCATGTTTTGCAAACCCCCTGAATACATCTGAAGGAGTCCATTGTTGGACAGATGGACAAAAATTAAAAAATCTAGGACCAAAAATCAGAGCATATGGTTATAGAGATATAGAAGTGTACAGGTATGTCCAAAATCATTCATATCCATGGCAGATTTTGGTTTTGAATAATCTTAATTTGACAAACACTGTTCTGAAAAGTTTGCAGTGGTCCAGCCAGAGTTCAGAGAATCTGATAAAGAAGCTTTAGATTAGGGTGGTCGTAAGGAGACCTTCCATGCTTAAAGATATGGAGCTCATCACCAGAGACAACTTATTAAAATACCAGAGGAAACATGGAAAAGGCTGGTCTGCAAAAGGACAGTTTGATCCTTCATTGCTTTTACAGACCCGCCCATTAATTGTTTAAAACTGCTGTTTTCTCACATGCATTTTTTGTGAAATATAAATGGAAACTTTTTTTTCTTCTACGGATACGGTTCACATTGATTTATATCTTACATAAAATAAATATTAGAGAGCTGCCTGTCTCATTTCCATCAGTAAAAGTTCCAGGCTGAAGAACATTTATATCTACCAGGGGTGGTAATTACTGTCCACAGCCATTAAAACACGTTATGTGAAATACGATGTTTAAATTCCTAAGAAAGTAGTTTGTAGTATAACTGGTATAAAAAGGATACACACCCGTCATTAAATACAGGGTTCCAAGAAAAAAAAAAAAAAAAAAAAAAAAGCTGGGTCACACCACTTGAGTCTCACTCAGCAAGCTAAAGTTTTTCCATCATACTAGCTGCAATGCCTGTAAAAAGGCTCCTGTTTCGCATAGTGTGACAAGATTGTGGTCACACTATTGTTCTGTTTTTTTAGATTCCTTGATTAATAATTGCCTAGAAAGAGGAGCCTTAAAAAGGATTTTAGTCATAATTTAGGCTGCTCTTTCAGCAAATGTCATGTCTGAAAGTCTGTCTACTCTAGCTAATAATCTATTAATAAACTAGTTGACTGTTATTTTAATAACTGATTACCTAATTAATTGCTGTTGATTGGTCTACAGCAATTAATTAAGCCGCTACCGGTGCTTGTTTAACTGCCATACCATACCTAACTAATATTGGTTGGTCTTCAACCACACGCAGCTGTCACTTTACAGTGAGGCATTGCAGGACGTTTGGCCTCTATTGACTTTATTAACTGTTGCTATGCAGCTTTCTGATAGTTCTACGGTATTTTCAGCAGATATCTGTTCATCATGCCCAGCACTAGGCCCCATTTTACAAAAACCAAGATGAGGGATTAAATGAGGATTTTCCAGATATCCAGGTCAAATGAGCCATCTGCCCACCTTCACTACTTCCTGCTCCTTTGTTTCCAGTCTTTTATTACTGGACAGACTGATTAATCCAGCTGTTTCTCAGTAACCATGACAACAATGGCCAGACACACCTGTATTAATCAGTCTATCCAGTAATAAAACCATGAAGCAAGAAGCTGGCTGAAGTTCAAAAAGTACTGGAGCTGGGCATATAGCCAATTAAAACGTAACCGTTTCATGAGAGCAGTAACACGTCAGTTATCATTGTGATTTATTCGGTGTAGCTGACTGATCGAGAGAAGGCTAACAGCCAGGCTTACTCAATCCTGGGTTCAATATCTGCTAAGTTAGCTGGGACAGCAATCAGAAACCAATTAATTAATACGTAACTGACTTCACAGCCTCTTGAAGAAAATTCCAGACCTGCATTTATCTTGATTACTTACACCTTTTATCAAATGCTTCATGGTCTTTTAGGTATAGGTATATGCCTATCCCCCTTTAAGCCAAAAATAAGTTCAACAAAGAATTGGTCTAAAGGCCTGCCTACTTATCCCTCAAAATCACTATACCTTTTTGTGTTTTTATCTATTTCTTTATTACATAGATGTTTCTAGTTATATCATATACAGTTAATGTCACATTTAAGGTTAAATAACATGACAAGTTTTAAAGTTTCATCACAGTTTGACACAGTTCTACATAGTTAGTTTGCAGGTAATTTTTTTAAAGGCATCTGTAGTACCGAGGGAATGCCACTAGGTGCCAACATTGCACTCACCGGTACTTGGCTTGTAAGAGAAAAGCCGCTACCGGGGCTCTTCTTTTTGTTGTTGTTGTTATTGTTGGCACCTCCTCCTCCGCTGATGGTGCTGCCGCCAGACATCTTCCTCTTCCGCCGCTTGTTGGGGGGCTGTCTCGATGGCTCTGCTGTTGAGTCAGGAGAAAAATGGCCTGTTATACACTTGTCAATTTATGACACGTCTCTGAAACTTTTCAGTCCAGCCAACTAACCAGGTGGGGCCACCATCCTCTGCCATTTCTGGAAGAGGCAGGTCTTGAGGCAGTCTCTGGGGCTGAGACTGTATGTCTTGTGTCTGGACATCAGCTCCTGCATGGGCTCCAGAATAACACACAGCTGCAGGAGGGAACAAAAAAAGGATCATCAACTAAGATATCTCAGGGTGATAATGGCATTGATTTCAAGTGATGATAAGACTGGGTCAGAACTAACACCAGCTAAGACACATCATGTCACAACAAAATCTGTAAACAAATGGCCTTTTCAAATTGATTGAACAGACCAACATTTACATAAAAACTACAAAATATTAAACTCTGAGAGCTGAAATAAATTTAACTTTCTCTATTAAATATCCATTAATAAAATCTTCCCCTTTTGATCAAGCATTCGATTAGATCATGCCGAGAAATAAAATAAAAAACATATATATTTTTTTTTATTTCCTTGGTGATGTACATAATGAAAGGTAGTTGCTGATCACCTTACAAACCTAAATCATTATGATGAAAATTCTAGTAGAATCTATATTTGACTGATACGAAAAAAGAAAAAAAAAAAACAGGATTGGTATATCTCTCCTCCTCAGACACCTCATCTGGGGAGACCCCAAGGCATTTCAGGCCAAATGATAGACATAGACCTTACAGGGTGTCCTGGGTTGTCCCCAGGCCCGCCTCATGTTGGGACGTGACTGGACGCTTGAAGAGGGAGGGATCCAAAACAGATGCCTAAGCCACCTTAGCTGACTTCTCTCCATGTGGAGGAAAAACAGGTCTACTCCAGCCTCTCTTTCATGACAGAGCTCCTCAATCTATCCCATCTCTAATGAAGTGCCTCAACTGTAGGCTCAGCTCTCTTAACAGCAGCAGACCTGCGCCCCATCTGAATTATGGCAGTAGCCACACCGATGTTTGTTAGGACCCCAAGATAAATAAATGCCTCCGCTTGAGGCAGGAACTCAAGTCTGACATGAAAAGAGCAAGCTTAATGTTACTGAATGAGAACCATGGCCTCAGACTTTAAGGAACTGAATGTCATCCCTGCTGTAAACCGCCTCAGCGCAAGCCGTATTTCTGAGCAGGACCACATGTAGACCAGTTGAGAAAAATCCCAAGTGTGTAGTATTAAGGATTTGTTTGATTTAAAGATGCGGACATGATCTACACATTTTTGTTTGAAAAAGACAAAAGCAGAAGTAAGGCAGTGAGCAGCAGGAAGTCAGGGCATTAACAGGCAATGTTAAACTAGACACAGGTGGCTCAGGTTCTAGGCTAAATGTTTCCTCAGATATTTATTCAGAGAAATATGTAGAAGACAGACAACATGTTAATGAAGAAGCAGGAAATGACCAAAAACTGTCAGTTCTGTCAGTTCATCATTAGCATCTGACAATTATGCATCAGGTCGTCTCTGTGTTGAACCGTTAAACCATGAGGTGTACACCTCGACCTCTGACGCCAAAATCAAGATGACAGAAATGCCCAGCCTCTATTGGCTTATGTTTCAATTTTATGAAACCCATGGGTTAATAAAATATGGCCCGACTGATTTCATTCCTGTTGACTAGTTCTGAGAAATATTACTTGATCAAGTCTTTTCTAACTTTCCACACAATAAATTGAGTTATAAAATTATGCATGCTTCATGCTAACATCGGTCAACACTCAAAGCCGCAGTATTGGTATATCGCAAGATATTCTTAATTGTCATCCAACTGTGGGAAATTCTGAACTTTTGTTCACCTTCATAAAAAGGAGTAATCATAATAACCTGACTTATTCACTGCTGTTGAGCCGCTCAAGACACCAGGTGTTTGAAACATATGCACAGCAGAAAACAGCAGGGAATTGGATGGATCTATTAGAACTAAAACACAAAGCAGTCAAGTTATACTGCATGTGCAGTGAAGCCTGTATTTACCCAAATTACACACAATGTCAGAAACATACAGGTACATTAAGTTTCTGCTGAGAGGCTCTGTATCAATAATGATTTCTTACGTTCGTCATTCAGTAGAAGATATTTCAAAAGATAGCTTGGATGCTTTAAATTTGAAACAGATGTGGCTGACGTACGGATTTGTTTGTTAAGTCCTGGTGGGCATTGAGCTCATTACGATTTTACCAAGTCACATTTACAAAGAGTAAACATTAAAGACCAACCACAGAGTCTGATGGAGATTTTAGACCTTAAGGATGGCAACTCAGACCTGATGCCTGTTGGATCTACTTACCCGGAGGTAGTTGAGGGTGGAGTTTGACAGGCCACATCTTGTTATGTTTTTGGAAAGCTGGTCAAGCATCTGTGGGTCTTGGGCCTAGACAGAAATTAAAAATAGCTTTAAACAAGGCCCTTAACATGTCTCATGCGTGTTCCACATACCTCACTTACATGCATGGCCAGTATACTGCGGGGGATGAGTTCACGGTGCTGTCGGATGCTGAAGTGCCACGTTTTTATCCGCATCATGTCATCAAACATGAACTCCAGGTACAAGCGGCCCTCTACGCACACCTAGGTTCAGATAATTAAATCAGCCTGCTGGCCATGAAGGAGAGAATCTCTCTCCACAGATGGATACAGAAGTCACCAACCCACCTGTGTGAACATGGGCTTTCCGTTTTGAGTGACCATAGTGCACTGATCACAGTCGAGGGAAACAAAGTTATTGTGGAAGGATTCCTTGGGATGTTTCAGCACATAGTAGAGCTCTGTGGCCCCGCCCTCAAATATACTCCGGAAGTACCGAGGAATTAACGTCCGGCCAATGGCTATAAAGAAGACATAGATAAAAACACAGATGTAAATAACATCCTTGGCTCATCCATAGGTTGGTATAAAAAAAAAAAAACTTCTCTTCTGAATGATGCTTGTATGTAACCTAATGTTCTTAAATGTCTATGTCATAGCAAAGAGGAGCATGCACACCCAGACATAGATTGACAAGCTGCAGCGGCCATTGACGAAACTTCTACATTTCTACTCTCAATGGTGTGTGTATTGCAGGGAAACCATTGAAAATATGCAGAAGACTGAGTCAGAGGACAGGAATTTGGTACCACTGTGTCTGACGTTCCTAAAGGCTGAATTATACTTCGAAACCAGGTTGTCTGCGTGCGTGTCGCAGTGAATGCAGACGTCCCCGCCCCTTCAGAAGACACTCTGCTGCACCTCTCCCAAATTGTAGGTGACCGCAGACAGTGCCGCACACAGGAGGCATCCGATCGGTCATATCTATATCCGCTCTGCACTATGGGTATTTCCTGTTTGGTACCTTACTGGCTTGTTTTGTTCCCATGACCGCCATTGGGGAAAATGGACCAGCTAGAAAAGTGAGGTGTGCGAGAACGCTGGGAGCCTTTTTCCACCTGGATCCCAGCTCTTTTTCACCCTCCTGCGTCTCCGTTATCACACCAATTTGCCCCCACTTTCTCACCGCCTCGGCCGCATCTAGACCCACAGCTAGTTCGTGATTGTGCCTCTTGCGTTGTGGCATGGAAAAACATAGTGCAGACCGCGCTTGAATATTGGGCATAAATCAAAAATATCTGCGACAAGCTCACTGCGATACACTGCTGCGGGGAGTATAACCAGCCCTTAAGAACCAATAGCTGGTATGGTGTGCTTGTTTTCTAAAACTGGATTTATGGTGCGTTCAATTATCTCAGAACTGCAAAGGCAGAGGTGGATCCGGTTTTCCATTTTATTTCCTAAATTGTTGGCACATGATGACCAATACAAAGACACAATACACTGAAAAGTAGTAAACGAATGACTGACCTCATGTTACACATAAAAATGTCTGCTACAAACAGGCAGAAGAGGAAAGTGTAACTAGTGTTGACTGGAGGAGCAGCCATTGTCACCTCTGAGTTCTGCTATGGTTGTGTTGTACTCACTTTTCAAATCTGAATTCGGACTCTCAGGGACGTTTCTAGCTGAAACATTTAACTCCGAGATCAGAAACTTAGACTTTGAGTTCGAGAATAAGAGGACACTGAATCAGAACAGCCAGATACAGTTATTCAGAGGGGTTTTTTTTTTATCACCACATTAACACCTTATGCCCTTAAATGACATGCTTCAGGATTTTTAGATGTGAATGGAGTTCTATTGCTATACAATGCTCCCGATTGTCAAATGGCTGAAAAGAATGCCACTACACTTTTCCCTTTATACAAAAAAGAAAATACTGAAAAAAACTAAAGCTGCAACCTCGGTCTGGAAACCATATACCAGTCGCCTATAAAGTAATTATTTTACCATAAGGTGGCGCGGATAGCTAAAATCTACAAAAATTGAGTGGGTGGTGTATTTTAATAATTTCGTGCAGAAGTGGTTGATCACGAAAAGTGGTTGTAGGTTTGCTTCATCTCCATTATTTTTTTCTTTATCCAGTTATGGCAGACCATTTTGATTTGATTAGATTGTGAAAAGCTCAACTGACCAGTGCCAAGTATAGAGAATAATACAAAGTTACAAAAAATAAAAACCCCTAAGCAGAGAATAAAAAGTTTATTTCTATTCCTAAAGAAATTTAGAGTAGCTGCTACTGTGAAAACACATCTTATTGTCTTCATATATCAAGACAATGAAGATTTCCAACACCATCTTTTCCCAGACGACCTCCTCTAATAACAAGTGAGTCAACAGAAGTGGTTGCATTCGCTGTCCAGCCTGCATCTCTGTCAGATTTTTAAGATGTGAGTCTGCTGCAGTTATTAGTAGTCACACAATCCAGCATTTCACATTCCATAGCTTAGTAGAACAGAGGTTGCAGTAAACATTTCATAACACTGCACTCTCACAGGGTGTATGAGTTCTTCATTTCTATTATCATGTAGCCCACTGTAAATATGCAATGGACTCTGTAGTTTTTGGGGATTGCTGGATAACTTTAAGGATCATATCTAGTGGCTGAGAAGCAGACAATAACTAAAGTCATGTTTGATTCTTACTGTAGCGTTTGGGTCCATCTTCCAGACAGAAAGTAATGGTCAACATGGCATCATCTTCAAAGAATTCTGTAGTGAAAGCATCCCACCACAGGTTGTCGCACTCCTGAGGGACGGCGAAAAGAGAACAACCAATAGCACACAATTACCGCTTTGTTTCTGTGTCCATCTCCATGTCATTGTTTGTGCATCCATGCAGACACAAACCTCTGTCCAGTTCTGTAGCCGCTTGTTGAGCTCAAATATTCTGTAGTCTGTTTGGTTTCCGTATGGTGTGTGCCTCCTGAGTCGCAGAAGGAAAACAGGACGAATGAGAAAGCAGTAATATTGATGCAAGTATTCGTACATCTTAAAAATAAAGCCAGCATTCTGAACTTTGAGGTTCAAGATAAAAACATTTAAACTCTCCCAATGACTAAATCTTTATTTTATTGATAGAAGTGACAGCAGCTGTAAACACATCAACACCATTTGAAGAAATACGATTTGAAGCGCTGCCTTACCCTATTCCTGGCTCCATGTATGAGGGCGGGTACATTGGAGTAGGACTGGAAAACATGTGAAAAAATGATTGTTGCATTCAACTTTAGCTCTAATGTGCTGTCTTCCAACATCTGATTCATCATTAGAAAAGACAGGAGTCAAACCATTAAACAATAAGGGTGTAAATAACATCTCTTAAAAACAGACCACTGTTTAATTTAAAAGAAACATGAGAAAAAAAAAAGATAAAACAGAAAATTCATCTCCCCAAATCTTACTGGTACTTTAACCACTGGAACATAACCATTTTGATTTTCCCCAAATTGAGAGGAAAAAGATAACAATGACATTTTTGCTAATCCATTTACTCAAACAGCAATTTCTATTAAATGGAAATTGTCCCTGATGTAAAAAAAAAAGTAGAAAGGGTACTGACTAGCGCATGTTTTATACAAATAAAAATTAGAAAAACGGATTTGAAATTAAGCCTAATTTGTAATTGCTTACCGGCAACATTTCCTCATAGAAAGAAGGAAGTGTAGATTATTAATCACAACAACATATTTTGCAGAGAAATGCAGACTTTTAATCTGTAAAGAGGATTCTCTTCCAACTTAATACATTTTTGTCTCAAATATTAGAATTTATGCAAATGAATAAATCAACATTTGAAAAATACAGTAAAGGCCAAAGACTCCAAGAGATCCTGAATCCTTAAATATGGAGGCATTTCTGAAAGCAGACAAGCTGTAAAACCTCAGTCTTCCTGTAACATGATTTGAGCCGTCTATCTGGACATCCATTTTGATACTGTTAGCACCCTCCATGGACTGATTGTCATAGCCCTAATAAATACTTCAATGATGACCACAGTGTAAGTCCCGTGTATCAGTGAATACGATCTTTGTGGGAGAACTTCCACTACTCTGACCATATGCTTCTTACTTGCTGAAATTTTCTGTGTTTCGTTTTGGCAGTGTTGTTTTTACTTAATTTATTCAATTTGAGAGGGAGAGACTGTAGGGCAATATCATATGGCTAATATTTGTTATATATATTTTAGAAATTTATTACATGTCACTTTGCTTGCTGAATAACTTTCAAAATATTTAATTCGGAATTTCCAATAAATTAGAGTACTTTCTGGGCCTAAGGTAGCTTGCTGCCTAAATTGAAACTTTACAACATATTTGAGGTGTTGCCTGATCAGATAACTAGTAAAACAAATATAAATCGTCAACAAGAGTCCCAAACAAGAGTATGATATACTTGAAGCACCCTGCTCAGTCATTTAATGAGTTATACTAACAGCTGCAACTTTTTTTTTTTTATTATTATATAGTCACAAGTACCGGGCAAAAAAATTAACTCTCTTCATTTAACCCATCTCCTTTGGGGAGCAGTGGGCTGCCATTGTGCGGCGCCTGGGTCTTTCTTCAGGAACCCAGAGTGTCAGTCTGTGGGAGTGGGGCTCGAACTCAGAAACTCTGGATTCCAAGCTCAATGCACTAACCACGAGGCTGCCACTCCCCTAAGTAATAAATATTTTGCTAATCGATTCAATTGCTCAGTTACTTATCAGATGACCAATGGTTCCTTAAAGGAGATTTTACACAGAATTTAAACTGAGTGAAGCTAAACCTGTGTCTTTGAGGACTTCTGGATAGAGCATATTAATGGACAAAAAGGGTTTTAATCTTAAATGCAAAATATTTGTGGCAATTGTTGTATAACAACTGCTTTGAAGGGGTTGCTCTATCAGCCAAAGGCATGTTGTAGATTCCTTATACTGAAGTTAGTTATTAATCAATTAGTAAAGTAGTTGACAATTATTTCAATAATCGATTATTCAAAATAAGTGTGTAATCACAATAAGGAAAAAGTCAAAACCCTCAGGTTGGAAATGTTTGGAGTCCTTGCAGGATGTTTTAGGGAAAAACGTAATTGACAATCTATTACATCTTGAGTTAAAAAAAATAAAACGTTAATGAGCTACTTTCTGCCTTGGACGTTAAACTTTTTTTAAAGATTCCTCTGGGGTTTAACCTGGATGAAATGTTTTGAATTGTTAGATTTTCATTGTTGCCAAGAGAGACAGAATTTTCAACTTTGGTCTGTATTACAGAAAGCTTTCTTTATCCTGCTAAAAAAATGTATTTGCACAGTCCAAAGCTTTACAAAAATTGGTGATCTAAAATGCAACAATAAATCTAATGAGAGCATCTCTAAAGATTACCATTTTAAACATCATACCGTTGTGTGTACTTTATTTTTATACATATAACATTGTTTACGAAACTACAAGCAGAAGAGCAGGATGATTAAAACACATAATATAAGGCCCCGTCCACACGAAGTCAAACCCTGGCCTAAACGCACAAATTTTTCACCAAACCAGCCTCGCATCCATACGAAGCCGGCGTTTCGGGGGTCTGTAAACAATCTTTTTTTTATTAAGCCTTCAGAGTGGGAAGATTTTGAAACGCTATTTTCGCGGTTCCATCTTTAAGCTCTAACCGCATTTTTTTTCTTACATGCATGCGTCATAGCGTCGCCTCTAAACACGCATGCGCGACACAGTATCACAACAACAATGGCGCCGTACTGTGTTGAATGGTTGCTGCTCATGCTACTCACCCTGCTGTCGGGCTTACAACAGAATCTTCTTCTGGAATATCTCCAGGAAGAACAGAGCAATATAGACAACGTAGTTCATCACCTCAATTTGACTGAACCATGAAAATGGGCCCGCAGGGCCATTTTCCAGTTTGGTTGTTGTATAAATATTACTGCGCATGCCCAACATTTGGTTGCCTGTTTTCGCCTATTTTTGCTTTGGCACCACAGCACCACTTATTGGCCTGTCATACATTTTGCAGCGTTTTCATGCATTCATGTGGACGATCACATTTATTTTATGTCTCCGTCTTTATGACAAACGTTCTGGAAAATATTAGCGTTTCGTGTTTGTTTTGACTTCGTGTGGACGGGGCCTGAAGAAATGGATAAAAGGGCATGGAACTCACCCCACGTCTCTGTCCAGCATGGTGCCGGGGTGGAAAGGGGGGAAAGTGCTACCGTTGGGGGGCTCCTTGGGGGAGTACAGCTTGAATGACTTGGAGGAACAGCCTGGATGATATGAAGGCATACAAAAGGGGGAGAAATATAGAGGTCATTAAATGTTGGATTTACAGCATATTAACAGCACTAAATAGAAACCAGCATGGAGTTCAACAGATACATTTAATGTCCAACAGTCAAACAAAAGCTAGTTTATTTCACAAAGTCTGATGAAACATCTTCAGTACAAATTGATTAACAGGCTCATTTGGAGCAGACACACAGAGATGTGTTAAGAAAAAAAAGGCAAATTCAGAAGCAAGTTGTAACACTGAAGATGCTCCTCATTTAACCATCACACATCTCCATAAAATAACTACTAGATATAGAAATACCAACAGACCATATGTCCTGGACAAGCCCACCTATAAAACCGAGTGATGTCCCTCCCCGACACAAACAATTCCCACCCCTGCTTTACAATAACTGCCCAGCTTTGTAATAAAGATCATCCAGGCATAGCAGCATGCAGGTCACGACCCCAACGTCACCATGGAGAGGCACCTCCTACTTAATGTGCCTAATTCTCGCAGCTGTATATTGAACAATGATATTTCAACCAGATGGGAAAATTGGCAATATTGCCTTCAGTCAATTCTGATTGGTGACTGGTGGGTCTTTGGTATTCTTCAAAGGCATCGAGATGAATTACTTCCACCAACTACACTCACAATAAGTCAACAGGTGGGCCACAGATTGATCTACAATCTGAAATCACAGCAAAGTCCAAATATTTTATTTTTAAACCTTGTTATAGTCCTGGAGGCAAAACTGCATAAATATTATTTAAATAACCTTTAAATAACTATGCACCGTTGCAGTTTGTATAGAAATTATAGCAGTAAAACTATGCATATCTATGGCACTACCTAGATCTATATGAAAATATTAATGTCAGTTTAAACGTGAATCTAAAAATATAGATAAACTACAAAAAATAATAGAATGGAAAAAAAAGATTTAAGCATAATTTTTGTTTTTCTATTCAGCACAGGTTCCATGTGCTGACTAAAATGTTGAACAATAGTGTGTTTTGCTTTAAAGACTATAACCTCTTACAAGAAAACCACATCTTGAAGACTTAACCACCTTTGGTCATTTTGTATACACAGCATTTACAAAACAAAATTTAATTTTGTAAAGCTTTTCATAAATTAAAGGAACATTTCCATTCCATAAAGTGCAGCAATGATGAAATGTAAACAGTGGGGAAGAAAAAACATGGTGCAAAAAAACGCATTGATATGAAAGTTCAGAGCATTATGTAGCCATTTTGACCCATGCAAAAAATATATAGGATAACTATTTAATGGTTAAAAGCAATTACCCCTAACCTTTATCTGATTTTACTTTATTAAATGAAAGAAGAATAGCAAAGTACTGGCTGCTAGTTAATGCATTTGTAGACCAAAATGATGGATTCTTAATCATGAAGATTTAAAAGAAAGTTGTGGGAAAAAAATGCAGATTGAGTATTTGTTCAGTCAAGTTTCAACAACTGATCAGATGAGCGTGGGAAAACTGACCGATTCCAATGTCTAGCTGATTTATTGGTGCATCTGTAGTAAAAATTCGCAAAAATGGAGCACGACGCCTCTGTCAAATTCAAGCAATAAGGCACATTTCATAACCAATTGGACACTAACAAAACCTGAAAGCATTAGCAATAAAGTCACCAGGACATAGACTGGGTTTGCCTGCACAAATCATTCAGATTTATTTCAATCAAAAATAGATCCACTGATAAAAACCATGCATCAGAGTATGAAAATGATGGATATTTTCGACACAAAGTTAGATACCAGAAAAAGGTAAATAAATATTACCTTTTAAACAGGTTTCCCCAATCTCACCTAGTAAAAAAAACGCTGTATACACAAAGTCATCTGAAGCTCTGTCTGCTCTTTAAGGAAGAACAAGCTGTTTGGGTTGTAACATTATGCTATAGGCTGGATGCACCACCAGATAAATAAATAAATAATCAATGGTTATGTGTCCATTAGTTGTTGAAAGCTCCATTAGCTCCTTCTCCTCTCCTGTTAGCGGTTAATGACAGTCAGTCACAATCTCATCAGCTGGACTCCACTTCCTCCACTGGGAATCATTCTCCTCTTACTTTTACAAGAAAACAACACTTTACATACATGCTAAACATGATCATGTGTGGCAAATGGATCATGGGGTCAAACTTTAACCTAAAACATATCCCAAAGAAACACGGGAGCATAAAGTCCGTTTCCATTTCACTGATATTCTGACATCAAAACACGATTAAAAAATGTGACTAAGGATATTAGTAGCTTATATTTTACATAAATTAGTTTAATCCTATGTGGCCCCTGTTGTGTCTATAGCGTTGTGTGGGGTAAACCAAACAAACAAGTTAAATAACTTAAAATCTCAGCTCAATAGTTTTGTTAAATTTTCTACACATCTATTGTGCCTTTAAGTAACAGGCACTGTAGCTTTTTAACGTAAAGATACAAGAATTACCTACAAAGGCAATTAGAAAGGCAGCCCTCGCATTATGTTAGCTCTTAGCCACCACCTTAGCTAGGCTACAGCTTCTACACACTGAAAAACGCGCATAATACATAACAAAACTTTTAACTTATACTGTAATTTAATTTAAAAAAGGTAACTTTGAACACTGAGTAATAGAAAAGAAATAAAATATCTTTCACAATTTACAAGCTGCCTCACAGGCCTTTTAACGGCCAGGCTAGCATTAGCCATTAGCGTCTAGCTTTTAGGCTAACGCGATAACGTTATATCTCTTTTCAAGAAGAAATATGGTATTAAATTGCGATAAACTATAACCACGAGCGTTTATAAGCAACACGTATTTGCACCGGGAGCTGTGTTTTACACAATAAAGTGTGTTTAGGAGGAGAAGCGGCCCTTTACCTGCAAAGAAGTCCAGTCAGAAAATTGATGTTTACAGATCCGTGGTGATAGACCGTGTGTACGCTCCGTGCGTAAAAACGGATAGGCCCGCAGGACGCAACGTACCCACACAACAATACGTCCTTTCCCAACAGAATCAATAAAAAAAAAATCTCCTTAAACCGAGAGACTACAGCGGAATAGGGCACAAAATTGCGGGAGTCGGTAGTTTTATGTTTTGTCCCGCATGAGGCCTTGTCAGTGGACTGGAGCCTGCTGTGGGTTTACATACGGACCCCGATGAGCCCTTTGTTCACGGGAGGACATGAACAATAGCTGTAGGCCCTCCTCCTCTTTTCCGTCTGCAATGCATTTGCTCCACTCCACTCTTCTCTGCCCAGCACAGCCAGCCGCCCTCTCCCCCTTCACTTTTTCTCCTCCTCCTCTCTCTAATGCACAACTGCACATAAAGGTTGACTGGTAAGCATTTTTCTCCTCCCTGCATCTGATCTCTTCCTCCTAACTGACACAGATGAGAATTGGCCTAATGCAGCTGACTGGAAATTTGTGTGGAAACGAAGATCATGTTGACTGCAAAGTGGTTTTCATGTTTGCCTAATTAGTGCACACCAGCTTGCTGCTAACAGCCGGACTGGGACAACCAAAGAGCCCCGGCCATGCACAGTGGGCTCATTCAGTGTCATGCAAACACTGCTGATGCAGCAACATAATCAGTCAAGATCTTCTTAACTTTCCCAGAAGGTAGAAAAACCTACAGCAAATAGAGAGAGCATCTATTAATACATCCATTGTCTTATTTATTTTTATTTACATGGCAAGAAAGTCCTACAGCAAGCTTATCACATTAAAATTTGTGAGTAATTCTTTGTGAATTGGTTGATTTTGTTATTTTTCCTGCCAATGTTATTCTACATTGCTTCCAAAAGTTAATATAGAACATACACGCAGCCAAATGCTTTGTTTAATTTACCTTAGAAGTTGGTGTCAGATGCAGGGGATAACACCAATTCTTGTTCTTGTTGCATCTCACATAACTGGGAGCTTGATAATTACTGTTATGGCCTTTGGGCCCTTTAGATTCACCTTCACTGAAAGAGGTATTAAAGCTAATTTAATGAGATGCAAACTATCAATGGTGAAAATACACAGGTTATTACTGCAGCTATGCTGTCTTATGCACCTGTGGTAGTGTTTGGAGTGACATAGAGGAGCTTAAATGAAACTTTTCTCACTCAAACATCTTTCCGTGTGATGACATGTTTTACTGTTGTTGTTTTTTTATATTTCTATCAGTGTATTCTTTAATTACACTGAAAAGCGTGTTTTGGACCACTGTCAAAGGACACTTTAGGACAGGAGTCCTCAGTTACTGCCCTCGAGGTTTGGTGTCCTGCACCAGATGTGTCCCTGCTTCCACACACCTGACTCAAGTGGCTGAATTACCTCTTCAGTATCCAGTCAAGTTCTCCAGAGTCCTGCTAATGCTCTGATTATTAGACTCAGGTGGTTGAGGTAGAGATCCATGTAAAAGATGCAGGACACTGGACATCAATGACTGGAATTGAGAATCCATGCTTTAGGATGATATGCATATATGCAAATAATCAGACAATTATTTATATGCACTGCAAAAATGATCTAGAAATAAGTAAAAACTTCTTAAATTAAGTGTATTCACCCTTAATTTGAGTAGGTAAATGAGATAGTTTGCCAATGGAATGAGTAATTTTACTCTTACAATAAGATAATTAGATCATATGCACTTGAAATAAGACAATGCAATTGTGTTTTCTTATTTTAAGTATCAATTGTCTTGTTCCGTTGGCAAAATGTCTCTTTTATCTCCTCAATTCAAGAACAAATGCACTTATTTTAAGAAAAAATGACTTATCTAGATTTAGATTTTTTGCAGTGTGATTCTCGTAAATTAAACAAACATACAGTCCTTTCACTGTGACTCAGCCTTTCCTGTCTTTTACATAGTGTTCCCTGTTAGTTATTAACTGTATTGAATCAAACATGTCACACTTAAATTCCTCAGCCCATATGACATGTCTGCTAAAGGTTTTACATCTAGTTGTTGTGGGAGCCCTGAGGCCCTC